ACAAGTTCCCATGCAAATACAGAGAAATGCACAAGGTGTGTTTGTTTCCCCCCCCTCCCAGACACAGAGTCAAGACTGTCTTGATCACATCGCTACCAGACAGCATCTTTTATGTGTTGCAGGCCAGCATGAAAGAGCAACAAAGATGCCGCACTACAAAGGTAACTACCGTATAGCAGGAATGGGTTCTGTTTGACCAGTGGCAGGCCCCGTCATCAAGAGTCAAAAGAAGATTACTGATGCTAATGAGCAAGAGAGGGCCTCGAGAACAGAAAGTTCAAAGATGATTGAGATAAGCATTCTCCTGCCATTTTACCAAGGGTGCAAGTAAAGGAAAGAAAAAAACAAAAAACAAATCAATGATCATTTCCATAGACTCCAGTGAGGGAGTTGGAGTGATAACTGTGCATTACAATGGGCCGGCAGTGTAATGAGAGCAGGGATCAATACTTGGCATATTCACGCTGGTGTTTGCCCCGCTGTTGGCCAACAAAGCCTCGGTAATTAAGAAGTCTACCCTCAATCCAAATACCTTTCCGCTTAGCTCCTATGCTCCTTGAATTATCCGTTTAACCCTACTGCTCTCTGAATAACTGGGTACCGTAGTTATTTGTATTCTGATGAAAGCTCAATAACTGCAGAAACAAATTAGTTTTAGTTTAAAACACACACAAAAAAACACCCATGTAGTAATGAGACTGACAAATAAACCTCAGGGAATATCCAATTATTTAAGTCCAATACTTTCAACAGACAGATTTAGTCAAGCGATCAATTTATGTTTGGGCAGCAGCAGTTAATACATATTCATTGCAGGGGACCATTATTGTAATTTTTTTCTGTGTCTCAACTGAGTCACACAAATTAAACTTTCATATTCTCATTATGAAACTATAATCACAAGAATTGGGCGATTTTCTGGGCTTTGCAGATGCAGAGATTAGCAAAGTTGCGAATGGTTCTGAAACTAGGGGAGCTAATTGGGATTTAGTGTGCAGAACTGCAGGGCTGTCAAAGGGCAAGATAATCAGACTAGCCTGCTGTGACAGAGACAAGACAAAAGAAAGAAGCAGCATGAACTATGGAGTCAAAAATAAGTTAAGCTCTGAATCACTGTCAGAGCAATGGAAATCTTACATTCATAAAATATAGCCATAATACTGTAGCCAAAAAAAAAACTCACTTTTTTTTTTTTTTTTTTTTTTTTTTACAGAACAAGTACTGTCACTAGTGCATATTATCATGGAAAGACTGCTATACATATTGATCAAGCTGAGCCAAAGAAGAGACAGTGAAGGATTAAGGCAGTGGAACAACTGTGCAAATTAAACCATGTGGTCAAATTGCTCCTGGCAAGAAAATATCTTCTGTAATTGTGTATAATGTATCTGTAAGTCTGTTTTAAGTCCAAGTCAATCGAACAACACAATCGAAAATAACATTTTCGAAATAATACACATCGAAAATAACATTTTCGAAATAATACACATTCTACCAAGATGAGGCAAGACTCCCTTACCAGGTACATGTACTGCAGTACCACACTGCCCTCTATTGGTTATTTCACGCCTAGACACTATTTCTATCACAGCAAAAACTGCAATACAATCCTGTCCCCTCTTCAGTTTTATCTTCCAAAACAGTCACATGAGAAACATGATAAAGTAAGAGGTGGTTGTGCATCAGTGGAGTATGACATGCTTGTTTTCAACTTACATATTAGGTTAAATATCAACAATCCTGATGATGCATTTTGTCATTTGCTTTTTGTTGGTTTGTTTCTTTTGTTTGTTTTTTTAGGAAGCATGATGAGCGACACTACAACAGGTGATCTGATGATGGAAATTTAAACATAGATGACAAGTCGCCCCCTACATGCATCACAGAAACAAGGTATTCTTACACTAGATTTTAGTGTTGCAATCAAATAATTGCTAAACTGATGTTTAATTTCCTGATCAATCAAATGTTTTGAGTCCAAGATCTTAAAATGTTCAAATCCCAGATATACTCAGTTTACAATGTATACACATCTGAGAAGCTATAGCCAGCAAGTATTTGGTATTTTTGCTTGGCCGATAATTATTTCTTTTTTTGACTTATTGATGAATTGGCATTGCAGTACTAAATATTATCAATTTGATAATTTGAGATAAAGTTTTGTTTTTGTGTGTACCTCCGCTCCTTCAAACTGCCACATCTACTTCTACTAATGAGTTCCTACATTTCCCAGGAGGACAACCCCCAGAAAGGGCCTCTCTGTGCAAGATGATAGATAATAGGTGTGAAAAGCGAACAAAACAGGGACAATGTGATGGTTATATTTATTTAAAAAGCTTCTAAAAGGCGCCGTTATATTCGACATAAGGCTCCGAGATGCTGCTGCACTGCATGATGGTCTTTGAAGGCCACTGTCAGTGTCTCATTGATTTTCCCTGAGCCTAGAAAAAATAGGCTGCTGATTTGTGATAAAAAGAACAAAACCCCATGTTGTTGTTTGTTGGTGATGTATTTATGTAATTCCCATAGCTAACTGGCTAAATGGAGTGCAGATTTCAGGGATTCAGTATAAAAATATGTTTTCAGTTATCTGCAACACCAACAAACACCATGGGTACAGGAATGCTGGCTACATGGCCAATTTGTTCAATGTTTCAGGGTCAGTCATTCCTTTTAAAAACAAGGTATGCAAACTAAAAATGATCTCAAGACACAGCACACTTGATCTCCCTCTCATTTAAAGGTGTTTATAAACCTGTCAAAGCTTGTCTCATACTGATGACCATGCGAAGCTTATCCTGTTGGGAGGGCTGCAGAACACATGCAGACCTAATCAGAGTGTCATTAATCCACGATGAAATGTCTCTGTGGCCGACTATCAACATGACTGGAAATAGAAACTCCACAGAGAGAGAGAGACAACTCATCAAAGACAAATTCTCTGCAGCACCGAAGCTTTAAAAAAACGGGCACAAATAACAGTTTGAAATAGCAGACAATCCTGCCGGCAGGCTAAAAGCAGCCACAGGACAGATAATGAAACGGACACTGCTGTCTGGAGACAAGAGTTTTTGGAGACGTATTTAGTCTGAATCTATTTTCTCTCTAAAGGTTGATGTGTAAGTGGAGATGAAACACCCCAGAATTAGAACAAGCAGTGAGTGAAAGCACTTCCAAATATTACAGTACGGACACCGATATTACCTGCAAACAAATACAGGGAACACTATATAGCAAAGGACAGTATGTAAACATGCATGTCAACAACAGTGAATTAAATGGCAGTGGTTTCCAAACTTTGTCTCATGTACCCCCCACAGCCCTTCAACAGCACCAACCATCATGTTCCAAATCTGTTCATTTGAATTCACTGGAGTCAGTGTTATTTAACACTAATGATTATATAAAAGTAAATATTACAATATGTGTTTTATACAAATGAACATTTGTAGTAGGGTACCACTTTTGTTTCCACCATTTATCCATTACATTTATTTATTCAACAAGTTTTCCTTTACTTTTAGCTAACTATAAAAACTGGTTATCCTTTACTTTTACCTACTGCTTTGAACTTTACTAGGCCTATTTAAGGCCCATTTATCCATTTAAGATCATATATCCAGTTAGAAATTTCAACCATTCATTCACTATTTCTAGCTAGCTATTTAAACTATTTATCCATTACCTTTTAGCTGTTACACTTCTCAGCTCGCTTGCTGTTAGCTAACTATTTTGGCCATTTATCCCTTAGTTTTTCCTAATGTGTTAAACGGTTTATCCATCAGGCCTACTTTTGCACTTCTCTAGCTTACTAGCTAGTTTTCATGCACTTTAACACTAATCTGAAGCAGTTGCATCTGATCGTGTGGATTTACTTTTGCACCTGCTGGTAACTGCAGAAGTACCCCCACGGTACAAGCTATGCTACCCCTGGTTGGAAATCACTTCATTATTTTATGATCAAACAACCATGCATTTAGCAGGCTCGCTGCATGCTTTGAATAACCACACGTGTTTTGAAGCTGAAGTCCCTTAATTCCCAGTGTCAACTATCATGGCCTGCATCATCACACTGAGAAAGAAGGCAACTGTCAGGGTCAATTAAACTGACAGTGTTAACCAACACAATGCAACAGTGTGTGTTAATTCATGCCCATCAGGACTCATTTACCAGATCATTCTAAACAGCTCTATGAGTGAACAAGCACCTCTCCAATCAATACACATCAACTCCAAATATTTGTAGAATAAAAATCAATATTTGTAAACACTAGGAAATCTGGTGTGGATGTTCCATGTGTGATAGCTGCTGGTGATAAATAAGCTTTCACACTTCAACTCCACTGATGGTGCATGTTGACAGAGCCAGATGTGTTGGGAATGAGAGCAGCCCCCATACACACACACCAGAGCCTCTAATGGTTTCACTGGAAAGACTATCATGCACTCTCCTTTTCCTCCCACAGTCTCCAGCTCCCCCCCCAACCTTCCTTTCATCCCACCTCCACTCACACACTGTCATCCTCACCTCACCCCCTCACCCCTCCCCACCCTACACACAGCAGCAGCAGCAGCAGCAGAAGCCTTGTAATATGGGTCACAGGCTTAGTAAAACAGCGCTGGTGAGAAACAATGTTATCATCTTGGAGCTGAGCAGCAAAAAACTTGCTAAAACTAGCTTTTTTCCCCTTTGCAATGTGGACTACACAAATTGGCTTGTCTTGCACAAAACCTTCCAACTGGCTTGTGAACTGGCCACTAACATCTTTCCTTTTAATTAAGCTGATGCAGCCAACAAACTGTATCCGGGACAGAATGTATAACATCTCCAAAGCGCAATAATCCAAAATGCTGAAAACAGCGTCTACAAAGCTTTTTCTGAGCTTGTAATCATCCATTATCACTGCCCCATGCTGCCTGAAGAGCTGCACCATGCCTGAGGGCACGAAAAGCAGCGCGTTTAGTCCAAATCTCAACTTCTCTGAATAAGTCTTTATTACCTTTCCATTCTTGGAGCATCTGCGATATGCGTTTGTGGCTCCTGCCGTTTGGTTCATGGCGAAAACGTCTGCGAAAAAGCGATAAAATAATGCAGGGTTTTTTTTTTCTGACAAGCTCAAAGTTTGAGTCATATTCAAGCAGGCGAGCACGTACATCTGATGAGTGTTTGGTTTACCTGGTGCGCAGGATCGCTGTCGCTCCTCGTTATCGGCTTGCAACGAGCTTGTTTGCTGTTCAGAGATGCATTAAATTGTCTAATGTTTCCCCAGATGTAGTCCGGAGAATTTAACGAGATTTCCTGATTGTTTTTTCACGCAAAAGTGCTGCTGATTGCCACGAAGTCAAATGTAAATCCGATGAAAACTTTCCCACATAAATCAACTGGTAAAACTGGTGGCTTTAAACCCACTTACTGTCACTTTTGTGACAGTAATTCCTTTATATTCACGCACTTCCAAGATGATTTTGAACACTAACCTGCTCACACTGACGGACCCGTCTATTTGTGTGTGTGTGTGTGTGTGTGTGAGATGTGTGAGCGCGGCAATTGCGCAAGCGCACCCCATCTGACAGCTTACATTGGGTTGAAGAAGGAGCCTGTCAACATTGCTCGCCCACTCCAGAGCAGAAAACAGCAGTGGGGACTGCAATATACACTATAATCATGGATAGATATCATACCAGACTGTGTAGATATATTTATTAAAAACAATTCTCCGTCTCTATCATTTTCCTACTTTCTGGTTGAGATGTCTCGTTCTTTTTAAAGTAGCCTACTCTATTAACAACACTAAGAGTGACCTCTATCAAATTCAAGTAGGATGACTGACACCAACAATTCCAAGTGACAAATTATTTGTGACCATTACAATCATTACCTCAACAGGAGGAAGTGGATTTGTTTAGTTTCAATTATAGCATAATAAATGAATGTTACAAGGGCAAGCTTCCACTGAAGTGTGACAATTATGTGGATAGGGCGGTGCTAAGCTGTGACAAAGTGGTTGTCACTCACATTCAGAGAGGTTTGCAATGTGGAGAGGAATCACCTATTGAGAAATGCATTTAATGTATATAGATATGTACCAAGTTAAAGGAAATACTAACTGAAAGTGTGTCCATAAGACCATCACTGCCCCTTGGCATAGATTCTCTAAGTGCCTGCTGTAAATTTGTTGGATAGATAAACCCCATTTTCTCAAAAAATGTTCCCTCATTTGGGTTTTTGATGATGGTGATGGAGAGCACTGTGTTAACACATCTCTCTATCATCTCCCATAGGTGTTCAGTTGGGTTGGGATTTGGTATCCGCCAAGAATATGAGGGCCCCTCGTGCCCTGTACGGAAGCATCACTTAATACTGGCAGTCAGTCTGTCCAGCACATTTATCAACATGCATAGCTGTTATATATTCCCTCATGTAACACATAAAACACAAATCATGCAGGCGACTCTCCCAACATACATCAATACAATAGACTTGTTTGTTTGAAGTAGTTTGATGTTGTAATACCACTGCAATCTTTTTCAGGGACGAGTATGGGGTAGATGAATTTCTTTCTTTAAAGATTTGCCAAGTTTTAGTTGCCTGAACTGGAATGACTGCTGGGCTGCTGTGTCAGTGCCAGTCAATGGGGGCACCAGATTGTCAAAACTATCAAACTATCAAACGTTTTGGAACTCAGTGCAAGTATAATTTGTTGTTTCGGCAAGGTTGGATTACCAACTGGGCAAATCAGGCAACTCCCCAGAGCGTCCAGACCTTCAGGGCTCCCAAAATCTCTGCTTTTTGGTAATCCAATATCAATAGGGTTGTAATCGTGTGGTCATGTTGTGTAGCGGGACCTTATGTCAAAATTCAGGTTCTAAAAACTTTTAGTTTAAATTATGTTGTGTTTTTTCTTTTATAAAAATATTTTTCATCATATTACCACAAATTGGCCCCGTTCTTCATATGTCAGTTAGTTAGTTTTCAAGCGTAGGAGTTCTGGTCGGTTTATATTGAAGCTGCCTTCTATAGTCCATGTTGTGCACTGTTCTTCATAGGACCTGGAGGCAAAAGCTTTTTGTTTGCCCTGAACTTGTTATATTTAACAAAAATTGGTTGTGTCACACAGCAGTTTGCCTTTTAAAATGTCCTCTAACATTCACTGAAATGGCAGTGATTACATCTGAAAAAATTATTTTATTTAAAATTTGGATATTGAATGGTGGTGCCTTTGTGTAATGACCAGAGATATCAGCATGTGAACTGCTCTGTCATATCTTCCCTTAGTAACTTTATGTCCTGTTATCAGGAAGTCTTTATACAACCACCACTCAGTTGTAAAAATATATACACAGAATAAATTAAATTGTAATGGAGAGCACCCAATTGTTCAATATTACTGTATTCCTTCTTTAAAATGCTGATCCTTTACTGGAACCATGAGGGCCAATAAAACACAGCCACTTGAGTTTTATCAGCATCACATGTTTTGTCTGAGATTATAGTTGAGCAAGTATTATTTCGCATTGTATAGCTGGATATATTTTTAATGACGGGGGACATGAGGATGTGAGCTTTCACTATCTTGTGCAGGGAAACTTCACCAGGATACCTGGCTGCTGACAGACAGACCATGACTATTTCAGGGATCTTCAGACCTCTATTCTTCTGGTTACAGGACATCTCTCTCCCCTTTAAACCAGCCTGTTGACAGAATCTATCAGTGGGCTATCAGTCAGTGTGGAAGTCCGGTTGTCAGTGTGTGGACAGCGCTGACAGGAAAGGATATCTGAGACTCAGGTTCACCTTTAGACTTGAGCCATGCTGTCACTTTCAGGGCTGACGCTGACCTATAGATTGTCTGAGAGGGAGGCCTCGGCTTCACATTTATTTGTTGCACCACCAGCTTTTCCCACAGGCGCTGAATTAAAAGATCCTTGCCGAAGCTCAACTTGAAGCCACATTAAGGAGCTGCACTCTTCTTGTGTTTAAGTATGTGTTTATGCTCCATTTGGCACAACTGCTGACTTACAGTACTTTTCCTGCTTGGTATTCCTATTCACTACAGTGAACGGGAACCTCTATTATGGCCTTATTGATTGCAGAGCTTATGATGTTTTCCTGTGTGCAGATTTTAGTGTGAAATCAGCAGGTGCCGTGTGAAGCCACTGCATTTAATTAAGGGCCGATCTGTTCACAGAAACCTGCATGCATTGGGGTGTATTCCTATCATAGAGGCTTTGAAGAGATAGAACTGCTGGGCTCAAATGTAATGTAGAGAGTAGAAAGTCAAAAGAACAATGGTGTGCTCCAAAGTTAAATGGTCACACTCATGAAAACGCTGGTGCTGTTGAATTAAGGGGTTAAAAACTTTAATCTTCAGGCACTCACAGGTAGGAGCAGGAACACTGCCAAAGTTTGAATAAAAAGCCTTTATTGGATTGTCCAGAGGACAGATTTAATGACTATTTTGTGCCTGTGAAGGACTTCAGGGTTTAGAAATACTATGTGTCTTTTTGGATCAATTTAACATGCATTCAATCAGCATTCATAGAAGATTGTTGGTTTAATGTAAAAGTATCGTTGTTAAGGCACCTTCAGACTAAACCTAAAATGAGTGTTAAAGGAGCTATATGTATTTTTTTTTTTTTATGAAATGAATCAATATTTTATTGCCTGTGTGTCAAGGGGTTGTAACCTCACATATAAGCAACTTGCGGGGTTTTTCTCTTACTTCTGACAGCCAGTATGCCTAATCCTATGTGAAGACTCCGGCACCGATTTTCCATGAAATCCCTTGGCTATGACTGCATGCGCACTCCCGAGCTTTTTGCCTATTGATTCTGTACCGTACACACAGCAACAACACTAACGAGATAAGAGTCAGGCTCCCAGCACAACACAGACTCTACATAAGCTTAAAAAGAAAACAGTTGTATGTGCTGGAGCCCTTCAGGCCAAACGAGAATCAGATTGACGTCAGGTGAAAACAGTCAACATCAGAACGGAGAGACCTCTGCTTTATTTTGGAACTGACAAAACCAACATAGAGTTGGCTTTAATCCTACTGACAGCCAGTATACCTAACATTACTGCAAAGATTGTGAAATACATTGTGATGTTGTGATTTAGTCGGCTGAAGTTAGATAACGTTATGTTGCGGGCTAACGCCGAGCATTTGCTAACATTATCCGGTGATACAGTAATATTACACAATAATGCAACATATCAGCTGTACAGTACTGTAACGTTGCATTGGGAGTTTACGTGAGTCTCCAGCGCTTTGTGAGTTCATGAGTTCGAGCACTTATCTGGTTGCAAGCTAAAGCTGAAAACTACTTAATGCCCCTTTAAATGGGGCACAGTTGCATTCAAAATCAGAGGAAAGATGATGAAAACTCACAGCTTTTGCAAGTTAAAATTGTTTAAATTGAGGCTAAACATTATTCTCTTCATGAATGTCCAGGTAGCACAGCAAATAGGAGAGAAACTGGGGGAAATAACAGAGACAGAGATGAAGTTCATGGCAAGTTCTGTGGTCATTCTGAATGCTGAAACACACTCTGGGCTGCACATCCACATTCAGATGTAGACAAATCAAGTGGCAATCAAGGGTATTTTATACTAATAATATAGCAACTTGTGAAGATAATCACTTGATTTGATGAAGTCAGACTGCAGAAGCTTCATATCAGTTGCAAATAGACTTTGGAATATATTTCCGCACAGAACGAGGACTGAACGCTGAAAAAGCAATTCAGATCCAGCAGCCCAACACAATCCATCACAAAAGCTCTTGATTAGTAAAGATTAACTTTCAAAAAAGAGGTAAAATTCAGTGTATGATTTTAATAAAATGGGTGGGTGTCTTTTATACAGGAATCCCCTTCCTCCAATTCTGCATCAACGTTGTAGAGATTATTTAGATTTGATAACCTTTTGGTATGCAGGTCCTCAGATATTTATGTCGGCGCTCCTCACTCCTACTATATATTGTGAATGTTAATGTTGGGTGCTGCTTTCTGTGTTTCTGTAACCAGATAATGGACTTATGCATAATAATGTTCGGTGGGGATAATCTCATTTCAGAAGCTGCAGTTTTTTCCCCCTGATAGCATCCTAATGTTATTAAAGATGCTTTTTCTGGTTCTCCAAACTTTGTGCAGTAACAGCTCTGCAGATGCTTCAGAGAGGTACATCAAAAGTTTGGTTTAAATGTGATGAGCTGACATTTTAAAGGACAATACTGGCATTTTCAGATTACGTGAGGCAGGTTTTTAGCATATAATGCTTGGGCTCAATTTGCACATTAAACCCTAAATTAAGGCTGTTTTTTGCCCTTTCAAGTTATTATCATTCATTTCCAGGCTACGCAAAAAGTGATTCTAACAGCTAAACAGGTTATTAAGAAGTAAATCCATCGTAGATGTTGTTTTCCTTTGATGCTGCGCAGTGCACAACCAATATCTGCCCTTGATACATTACCTATGGGTGGAA